AAAACTTGAACCGTCAGACCAATGGTGGGATTCCATTTTTTTTTACTGCCGGTTCTGTGAGTGGCTTGGTGGGCATGGCAGGAGAAGGAGACTGTAAAATCTCCAGTCAGAGGTGGGATTTGTTGCCTCTCTCCTCCCTCTCTGCAGGTTCTTCTCACAGTTTTATTTCTTCCATCTCTCTTCTCTTTTCACCTTCGTATTCTCTAAAAGTATTGATCATAAAATAGTTCTGCTTTCTCAATTGTATCTAGTCTGTGTCTTTGCTCTCACCATGTCACCATTATTCCCTCTGGTATCAGAGGGAATAAACTTAATTTCTCTTTTAATCAAACATTTTGTCAGAAACTGATATTCCACTTTATATGCTGGTGATGCAAAGTTTCCTCTTTGGTTTCAGCAAGCCCAAAAGTCCGTGTGCTCTTGCCTCTTACTGCCATGGGGAAGGCCAATGGTTACTTATTTGACAATAAGTCATAGGTCAGCTTTTCCAGAACATCTGTTACTCACAGCCACTCCTGGAAAATTAACACCATATTGTGTATTAACCCTCAACAAAACTCAGAACTTGTAAAGGTAATCCTTGACTTACAACCAGAATTGAGTCCAAAATTTATGTTGCTAAGCAAAACATCTGTTACGTGATGTTTGTCTCATTTTATGACCTTCAGCTGTTAAGGGAATCACTGTAGTTGTTAACTTAGTAATATGGTTGTTAAGTGAATCTGGCTTGTCAGAAGGTCGCAGTCACATGACCCTGGGTCACTGCAACTGTCATAAATATGAGTCCGTTGCCAAGTGTCTCAATCCTGATCCTGTGACCACAGGGATGCTGCAGTGGTTAATAAGTGTGAAAAATGGTCATAAGTTACCTTTTTTCAGTGCTGTTATTAACCTTTTTGTAAGTTGAGGATTATCTGTATTAACTGATGAATGTGGTAAATTTGTTGGATAGAAGCTATATGAGATTAAAACTATGGTCCTGGGAGTTTGTGCCTCAAATGAAGCTGAAGTTATTTTTATAAATAACTTAGGGGGAAAGTAATGGAATAATTTTTATGAAAGTTGGTGCTTGGAACTTTGTCATGGAACTTTTTTTTAAAGGTATTACAAGAAAATAAGACTTTTATTTTCGGGGAAACACACACACACACACACACACACACACACACACACATATTTGTTTCCTTAAGTTTTCGCGGGTACTTACATGTATGGTATTCAGCTTTGTTCGGATATTTTCCCACGTCATTATAATTGTGCTTTTAAAGTTGTAGCAATGTTTTGGCAGAATCTCATCTGCCATCATTAGGCTTCTGTATTGTGTTCGTCTGTGAGTCAGGCTTTCACAGCCGTTATGACTCACAGACGAACACAATACAGAAGCCTGATGATGGCAGATGAGATTCTGCCAAAAGGTTGCTACAACTTTAAAAGCACAACTATAATGATGTGGGAAAATACCCGAACAAAGCTGAATAATATGTATGTATGTATGTATATACTTAAATTTACTGTATGTAAACGCTATATACTGCATATACAAAAAATACTCATTTCCATATTTATTTATGTGTAAGCCCATGCATGAAAGATTAAGGGCAATAGAAAAAGGGGACGACAGAGAATGAGGTGGCTGGATGGAGTCACTGAAGCAGTAGGTGTGAGCTGAAATGGACTCCAGAAGATGGTGAAGGATAGGAAAGCCTGGAGAAACATTGTCCATGGGGTCGCGATGGCTCGGGCGCGACTTCACAACTAACAACTACAACAAGCCCATCTGGTTGCAATGTCCTATGGTCATGTGATTGCAACCTCCTGCTGACTTCCATATTGATTTGCTTGTCGGAAGCTGGCATTGAAGGTCACAAAAGGCGATCATGAGATTGCTATGATGTAATTGCAAGCTGATTCACATGTATGTGACTAGGGAAGCTGCAACGGCTGCAACTATGAGAACCTCTTGTAAGTTCCTGTTGTTCAGCACCAATGTAACTTTGAAAAGTTGGCCATTCAATAAGGATTACCTATATATAGTAAGTATAATATTGATCAGTGTTCGGCTTTTAAAAATATATATATATTCTTCCCAGCTTTGAAGTCCTGGAATCAGCAGCCAAGGGATTTCCCATTAGGCCTTGTAAACTTTGAAATGCAATTTAGTGTTTCACTACTTGTAATGGCCATAGCTGCACTGCAGCTGCAATTATTATTTTCAGAGCTACTGTCATTAGCCACACTTACGTGGTGCTCAGATTTATCATTACTGCAACATATGCTCTGCAGAAGAAGTTCAGTTTAAATTTTGAGAGCTTTGTTGCAAGTGCTCTGTTGTGTATTAAATTCTTTCCTGAGATGGAAAGCTGGTCTAATTGCTGTGGGGACCTAGGGGCAGCTTTGCCTCCTGAAATATTGTTACTGGGTTGTTGTTGTTTTTTTGACTTTCCGAGTTTTGTACTGCAGTCTGTGAAAAATACATGCTATATAAGCATTATCATCGATTTAAAATATTATGAATACCATCTGTCCTTTGCTCGGCCCTTAGATAGCTTGTTCTGAGTTGAAATAAAGTCCCATAACATGCCTGACCTATGTTCCTGGGTGGAGAAGATTTGTATGCCCAGGATGTAGCAAGCATTCTCCTGTCTGTCCCATGGAAGAACGTTTATTCTTGCCCATTGCAGTGTTTTACCATCTCTTCAGTCACATCCCTGCATAAAAACAAGTTTACCCTCTGTCTTTTTGGCCGATTATAGTTATCAGTTCAAGTGGAGCAAGGTTGAAACACAGACACAGACACAAGTACATGCATATTTCCTTCATGCCACATAAACATTTATCTGTGAGGTAGGCATCACCTTCATTGTTCCAGGTGGAGTTTGCATTTTAGACTGCTTTTATTTACTTTGTCTAAGTAAATAAATAATTTAGGATTGTTCACTTTTAGATAAATGAAGTGAAAATATTATTTCGACGAACCAACAAACACACCCTCCAGCCATAGACGGATGTTGTGTGTTTTAGAGATTTATTTGGTGATCTCACCCGAGTTGCACCTGGTGTGTGATTCAGATACTCTCCCCCCCACACCATAATATGGTACAATCCCTTAATAAATCTGCGAGAGTGTTTTCAAGCCAGCTTGTCATTTCCCAGTGCTGGCTGTAGAAGGATTGACATTGCCAGGTTAGTTCCTTGTGTTTGGATTCTGGTGACATTTATTCTTATTTGAATAGTCATGAAACCAGTAAGGCCATAACTGATTAACATAGAGCAGACTAAGAGTTGTAATCCTTCTTGCTGGAAAGTTAAAATAATGAATATAATTATATCAGAAGGGCATAGTTGGTAGTAGTATCTTAGATTTGTAAGTCTCCTAAAAGTTTGCTTGGTATGTTTCTGTTTTTTTTTTAATATCTGAACTTTTAAGCAGAGTTCATATTTTTTCTTCAAAACATTCTCAAAGATCCATCTCATCTTGAGCACCCTTTTTTTAAACTATTACCATCTGGTAGATGGTACAGGATAATAAAAACAAGGACAAATAGGCTGAAAAATAGCTTCTATCCTAGGGCAGTAACTCAATTGAATTCCACTATACAGTTCAGTATTAATGCAGTATCAGAGGTTTTCAATTCAATGTATAGAATGTGAAGGATGTGTGTTTTTATTTTCATAATCATAATGTACACTGAAGATTTAATTTAGTTGTATGAGGTTCAATGACAATAAAGTCAACTATACTAAACTTTCTTATTTTTAAACATTCAAATGCTGAAGGTTTTTCATTCCAAAAGAAACAAGATGCCTAAGCCTGTGTTTTATTCATTTATTTTCAACTTAGCAACATGTTGGAAACATTATTATATGGAGGGCTTCAAGATTCTTTATGATTGTCTTTCAGCAGGACGATTATCAAAAACCTGAATAGATCAGGAAGGGGACTGATTTGACAGAGGGGAGATCAGTTCTCAGCCATCTTTGTGCCAGAATGGGACAACTTGTCGTGGCCAACTCGTTGCAACCAACTCACCGTGGCCAGCTTGGTACAACCAACTCTCTGCAGTCAATTCGCCATGGAACAAATCGCCATGGCCAACTCACCACAGCACAACTCACTGTGGGACAATTTAACAATTCAATTATTTAAAATAAATATGGTAAAAATTATTTTAATTTGTGTCATTCACATTGTATTCTGTTTCATTCTTTTTTTATGATTCTATTACACCATTTCTTTGTTATTAGTGTAACTCTTGTCCTGCAGCAAGTTGTCCCGTGATGAAATGGCCTTGTCGAGTTGTCCTGCAACTAATTGGCTGTTGTAATGTGGCTGTGGCATGTTGGCCCTGGTAAGTTGGCTGTGGCGAGTTGGCCACAACAAATTGCCATAGACCTGTTTGTGTTGAGCCCAATCCTGTACTACCCAGAGTCCGCATTGATTGATTGATTGATTATGTGTCATCAAGTCTGTGTTGACACTCAGCAGCTACATTGATCGATTTTCTTCAGGACTATTTGCCCCCCACCCCAACCTAATCCTTCTGGTCTTGTAATGGATCATTCACTGCCTCTCTAATTGAATCCCTGTGCCTACTTACATACAGACATTCATTTATTAAATACCATTATTTTGTTTATTAAACCTATTCCTATGTTGCCACCATGAAAAATTTCACAGCTAAGAGAGAAAGCATTCTGCGTGCCTTACAATTGTTGCCTGTCCCTTTTTTAAAGTAATCAATGTAGTTTTACAGCTATATTGTTCAACTAGAACTTCTTAGCTAGTGTTAAGTTACTTCGAGGGTCTCCACCTTCCATTCTGAAGCAGCCCAGTTACTAATACAGAAAAGGAATCATGTCATGGCTGTTGAATCTTCAGATAATACTAGTTACTTCATTTTGGGGGAATATTGGTCCACCAGGACTCTCATGCCAACCTCTAAAAAAAAAAAAAACCCACCGCAGTTGCCTGTCATTTTCTTGTGCTTCCTCTTACCCAGGTCTCTCAGGCAGCTGCAGAGCTTCAGCAGTATTGTATGCAGAACGCTTGCAAAGATGCTTTGCTTGTCGGACTTCCGGCTGGAAGCAACCCATTTCGAGAGCCCAGATCCTGCGCATTGCTCTGAAGACGGGTAGGTCCATGGCTTTGTCAGATAGTGCTCGCACTCTCACTCTAATATAGCAATAGCACTGAGCTTATATACCGCTTCACAGTGCTTTACAACCCTCTCTAAGCGGTTTACAGAGTCCGCGTTTTGTCCCCTACAATCTGGGTCCTCATTTTACCCACCTCAGAAGGATGGAAGGCTGAGTCAACCTTGAGCCGGTGAGACGTGAACTGCTGAACCGCTGGCAGTTGGAAAATGTTGCATTCTAACCACTGCACCACCATGGCTCTTGTTATTTATGGAGTTGATTTGCATAAATTTGGGGACTTTCGTGCTACATCCTTTTGATTTTTTTCCTAAAAACGTGAGCAGGAATAAAGAGCTGTCCTTGGGGACCGAAGATAACGATGAAGAAAACCAAATATTCTTTGTCCTGTATATAAAGGGATAACAAGAGAGTGCAGAGTGTCTTATTTTTCTGCTGAGTTGCTCTCCTTTACATAGGAATTATATGGAGTAGAGTATGTATAACTAACATTTTGCTACTCTAATGTAGTTTAATTTATGGAATCTTGAAGGAGAGCACTTTTTAATAAAATATGTTTCTCTCTCTCTGTGTTTCAGGGAAGGTTTTCTGAAAGTCCTCAAGTACAAGAAGAATCCCAGCGGTCTTCCTTGTTTTCCAGACCAACAGTTTCTTTATGTAGGGCTTAAACAGTTTCTTTAGATATTTATTAGCCTGCCTGACTGTCTTAGTAAAATGGTAAAATCTTTTGCTAATATAAAGCATTTTATAAGGAAAAGCTTTTCCTTTTGTAATTGATTCGATATCCCTTTCTTTAATCCTCGGAATTGTTTACATTTAGAAAAGGACAATGCCAATGATGTGTTTCTGTTGTGCCTGAATGAAAGGCTACGGTTTTACGCACATTTGTTACTTTTTGAATCAACATGATATATTCAACAGGGAAACTATAGCTCCTAGTTAGTATTATAGAACTTCTACCAGTGAAACTCTCTTAAAAATACCTTGCACTGGTTGGAGTATGCCCAGTTTGCTAAAAGAAAAATGCTTCTCTCTTCTAGTTGGTTGAAATGAAGGAGATGAAATTCATATTTAGAGGCATTTACTATTGAGTGCCCAAATCCCATTTTTACCCAGAAATATAAGCTTACTGTTCAGCTTTCCAGCGGGTTAGGAAGGAAAGAAGTGTATTCGGAGGGTTGAGAGGTACCAGAGGAACCGTGTCATAAACCATCTTCCCATTTAAGCTGGGCACGGTGGCCCATTTGCAGTGAAATGGAACTGGGAACTGCCAAGAATTGATAAACAATTCCTCGTGCCAGTCTGCAAGGGGGAGGATGGTACAGTGAGATTAAGGTGCAGGGAGGGGAGATCGATGAGCCTGGTCCACCGAGACCACGAAGGAAGAGTGAGAGAAGATGCACCAACTTCTAGCATAGGACTCACCAACTTTGGCCAAGTCTACCAATCACATGGCTCCTGACTCTTTAGTACAGGGCTGTCAAACTCAGGCCCCGGGGGCCAGATCTGGCCTGTGGGGTGCTTAGATCTGGCCCGTAGGGCCGCCCTGGAAATAGTGAAGGATTGGCCGATGGTGCTTCTGCCGCAAAAACAGAGCTCTGTTTTCGCTGGCAGAGAGTTGCAGGAGACCGTGCCAGCCGAAAACAGAGCTTGGGATCCTGTTTTCACTGGCAGAGCACTTGGGCTACCACAGGCACTCACCCCCGGCATGAGTGACATCATGCTGGCCACGCCCACCCTGGCCCCCCAAGGTCAAACACAACCCTGATGTGGCCCTCAATGAAATTGAGTTTGACACCCCTGCTCTAGTACATACAAGCCCTTGGGGCTGCATATTCACTACAGAAGATCTAATCTTTGTCTCTGCTTTCACATAAAATAGTTACCTTGAAGAAAAAGCTTGCTATTCGGGACATTCCAGTGCCACAGACTCCAAAGAATTTAAACCCTGCCAAATGTCTTCAGGCCTTAGGAAAGGAAAAGAAAATTGGCCTTTCCCCCACCCTTTATTTATTTATTTTAACTGTTCCCCTCTCATTGATGAAAAGATGTTGCAGTACAGGAGAAAAACACTTGATGTAGAAGTGTTGGCCATGTATTAAAAGAGTGTGAAAATAAGCCTAAGAATCAATCCATGTATACTGGATATCTGCATCAAGATGCTTCATTTTTTTCTGGTGTTGTCTCCTGCTGAAATTACAAAATCTATTACTCTGTTTCCGAGAGGGACAAATCCTGTACTCTCCAAGTACAGGTTTATAACCTTAAAATATGCCTGTTTGGCAAATAATCACCGATAATAACACTACAATACATACATTAAATTTAGGCAAAATTTCCTAGCATTTGCAATATTACTGGAACAATTCACCTTTTTTTTTTTTGTGGGATCCGGTATCTTTGATTTTGAATTATCAAGCACTTTTATACACGCTGTTTACTTTTAAAAAGAAAGTTCTTTTTTGGTTTGTATTAATATATTAAAAGCTTTAAAAAATAATCTTTTCTAAATTACTGGGATTTATTTATTTTTTGTGGCACGAAAACACATTTAATTATTTTCTTTTTTGAAGAATCTGACCTATGTTAGAAAAATAGAAAAAAATCACGTCCGTCTCTGCTACCTCCAATACATTTATGACATAAGTGAACAGCCCACCAAGAAATTACTATTCTGCCCATAGATGCTGATGTCAGTCACACACCTTGTTCCCAGTCCACAAGGAGCTTCCATATAGATCTCGACTTGCGACAGGTTGCTTGCTGACCATTAGAAGTTATAATGGACCTCCCCTGAGCTACTTATAACCTGGTTTCAAAATTCCAATGGCTCCCCTCCCTATGGTCATGTGATCACATTTTGGGTGCAAGGTAACCAGCCCACATTTATGGCTGTTTTACACTGTCCTATGATTTTCAGCACTTTTTTTCCCCCCTGCAACATTTGTACTAATTTGCATGGATGAAAAAACAAACAAACCCAGGACTGGACAATAGTACTATTACATTTGAGAAAAGAAAAGGCTTTGGCGATGCCTTTTCAAAACTTGCAATATGTATCTTGAGAGGAAGTCAATATAAAATATTTGATGCAATAAACATAAGGAAAGAGGATAATAGAAGAGAAAAAAATGTGGAAAGAAAAAAAAGTAACTTAACCCAAGAAACTTGCTTGAAATACCATGTTGTTGAGATTAGCGGCTCAAAATACTTAAGAGCGATGCAAAAATTGTACAGATAGGTAATTTTTAGATTTCAGATCACAAGTGTTACAAATAATAAATGTTTTAAAAACTTTAGTTTTAAAAACGTTTTAGTTTTAAAAACATTTTTTAGGATTTGGGTCTGTCTACCATAGCATCAATAAGGCTATTCCTACCATTTCCCCTTTATTTATTAGAAATTGGTGATTTGCAGCTTAAAGAATAAGTGTATGTGCACATACACACACTCCTAGGCAGTGAACTCTACAGATAATTGCACTTCTTGATGACAGCAGTGCCATCAAGAATGCTTTCCTGTGGCAGATTTATGAGTTCCCATAGCTGTTTCCGGTGTGGCCCACAAAGCCCATCTACATACATGTGGTATTTTGCTGGTCGTGTTTGCATTTGATTTAGCATATGGTGTAAACCATGCAGTACCTTGATCACCATATAGAAGCCTGCACTGTAATCATGTTCTAGTGCATCGTCTGAACTAAGACTGGAAATTGGAGCCCTAAGACAAATGGCAGGAATGCTCACAAAATGGACTTGCTCCTGGAGCAGCGTCTATGCTGGCTGTTTTCACCTGCAAGGCGTAATCTGGAGACACAAAGGGGATAGGGAAGGGCTTCAATGCAATTAAAAAGCAACAAGAGGAAGGGCAGCCAACAGCCACAAGGAGATGACAAAAAAGAGGGAGACTGGCTTTAGTTTGTGACTTCCATTTTACAGTGGTTGTTTTCCTTTCTCCAAGGGCTGGTTCTACCCGGTTGGCAGGGCGTGATCATCCTCCAGGCCCCTCCATTGGGGGGATCCTAGAGAAAACTCTCCCCTCCTTTGGAACATCTACATGAAACCATTGGGGAACATCATCTGCCAAGTTGGGATTCAGTATGTGTAGGGATTGGATGGGGAGGAACTGACTCAGTCATACTAGAACCAAATGGTTAGGGGTGTTTGGGCACTTCGGATCTGGGAATATTCTGATCTTGGGTGGGGTTGCACTTCCCAATGCAAGCGAAACATACAATTTGGGGGGCTTTCTGAGCTCACAAAATGATGAGCGGGTGGCAGATATGGCTAGGGGAGGCCTTTGCCCAGCTTCATTTGATGTGCCAGTTGTACCTTTTCACAGAATAGGGGTGTGTGAAGGAGGGAAGTTGGGTCATGCCTTCTCTTTTCAAACATGGCTGTACTCATGCAGACAAGCTTCCCCCCTTCCCATAATCGTTCCCCCCCTTTCCTCAGAACTGCACTCACAGGCATTCAAGCTGGTGTTCCACTTGCCTTGCTAACTGAGCCAACTACTGGTGTTATCAAGGATGCGCCGAGGTCCAGAGGAAGCTTCACCCAGGCTTTTGAGCCTACAAAAGCAAATGCTAAGAAAGAACATAAGGACGAGAGCCGGAAAGGTGAAAGCAAAAGACCTACAGAGAAGAAAGCAAAGGTGAGATCTGGAGATTGGCAGCTATTACAGCAGAACTTTCATCCAACTGCCAGGAACACAAGCTGGGCTGGGCAGCATATCTTGGTGGAGGCTTAGTAGGAACTAGAGGAGGAAGAATCACACTGAAATAGCACCTCATCCCAACTAGTGCAAGGATCAACCAATGGAACAGCTTGCCCTCGGAAGTTGTGGGACCGCCATCACTTGAGACCTTCAAGAAGAGGTTGGACTGCCATTTGTCAGAAATGGTGTAGGTCTCCCGCTTGGGTGGGGGGGGGGTTGGACTAGATGACTTATAATGTCCCTTTCAACTCTATCTGTTATCTTAACAAGGTTGACACTATATGGAACAAAGCTGTTACAGAATCTAGTTGTTCTGCTTTTGGATACCATGAAGACTCCTCCCAGAAGGCAACAAAGAAAAGAAAACCAGCCATGTAGAGGTTGTGTAAAGTCCCTGACAATACAATGGACCCTTACTGTATACACCTAATGCTGAAGTACAAATCAAGGAACTATAGCTCAACCCACCAAAAACATAACTGTAAAAGACAGACCAGAAACAAAAGTTAAAATAAGCAAAAAAATAGTAAGAGAAGACCTGTCTGATCTTGATGAAAACAAATCACTGGGGCCTGATGGATTACATCCCAGAGTTTTAAGGAGCTGGCAGAGGTCATCTCAGAACCGCTGCACCATATCTTTCAAAAATCCTGGAGCACCTGGGAAACTACCAGAGGACTGGAAAAGAGCTGACGTGGTTCCCTTCTTCAAAAAAGGAAAAAAAACAGACCCAGGAAACTATAGACCAATCAGCCTAACACCAATACCCGGGAAGATACTGGAAAAGATAATAAAAAACCAGACCTGCCAACATCTAGAAACAAGTAAACTAATAACTAGCAGTCAGCATGGGTTTGTTAGAAACAGGTCATGCCAAACCAACCTTATTTCATTCTTCAACACAGTGACTAAATTAATAGACCAGCAAAATACTGTGAACATAGTATATTTAGATTTCAGCGAGGCGTTTGACAAAGTAGACCACAACCTACTTCTTAGTAAGCTAGAAAAAAGGTGGAATAGATAGCACCACCACTAGATGGACTGGCAACTGGCTGGCAAACCGTACTCAATGAGTAGTCCTTAATGGGTCTAAGTCTACATGGAGGGAAGTAAGCAGTGGGGTGCCACAAGTTCCGTCTTAGGCCCAGTACTCTTCAATATCTTCATTAACGACTTAGATGAGGGAATCGAAGGGGAACTTACCAAATTTGCAGATGATACTCAGCTGGCAGGAATAGCTAACACCCAAGAAGATAGGCTAAAGATCCAGATGGATCTTGACAGACTCGAACACTGGGCCATATC